ACAGGGCCCCCCTTCCTCTTCGGCTGGCCGGTGCTGACCTGGCTGGCCTCCTCCCATCCCCAGCAGCACGTGGGAATCCGGCTTCAGCTGCATGTTGCTCCGGATGGGACAGACCCACCTGGGTCAGCACCAGCCAGCAGAGGCGGTGGCAGAGCTAGGTGCCGCTCGGGACTGACCAGCACAGGTAGGGGGAAAGTGCAGCTGAGCCCCTGCTGCTCCGGCTGGGCTCATCCTGTCCCGAATGGCACATGGCTATTCCTCTTCCCACATGCACCACGTCGGCAATGTCAAGCTGACGTGGTGCATGTGGGAACCTTGTCCCTTCCCCAGCCCTTCAGCAGTCATTAGGAAGCTGCTGAGGGGCCGGGGGAGGGACAAGGGGTGGGAACGAAAGTAAACAGTGTTTACTTTTGTTTCCCATCGCAGCACCATGGGCCACAGAAAATGGCTTGGCAGGCCACATGGCGGCCCGCAGGCCGTATGTTGAACAAGCCTGGGCTAGGGCATAACAGTGCTAAATTGTGGAGCCATGTGGCAGGCAGCTCCTGCACTTTAGCATCCTCATGCCCCAGTCTGCCCCTGTTACCATCTACACATGCATTTTGTCATGCTTAATTACTCCCCTGTAAGATAGTACTGCCAGGGATAGTACTATCTTATGGCAGAGTTAATTAATTTACTGTGTCCTAATACTGGCACACATGTAGACCATGTTGCTTTACTGCAGAGGTGATTAGTCAACTGCAGGAAAGCACACATGTAGATGCACCCTGTAATAATATTATTATTTTGATCTTTCCATTCTTACTTATGTGATTTAATTCTGGCAGAATCTCATTCATGCAGAATAAGGCCCCAGAGTTGTGTAACAGATTAGAACATTGCTTACTCATATTTCCTTCCTTCTGTCCCTTCACTTTACATCCCCGTCTAATCTATTGCATCATTAGAATGCAATTTGTAACATTTTGTATTTTTTTCAGCTAAAAGGATACTTGCATGTAGTTACCTCTACTTAGTCAACGTAATTTCCAAGATAATCTTTTAGAGCTAACACAATTTTTGGAGTGTTTCTACACCGTTAGAAGCATTATTCTGGTTGCCTGAAATGAGGGAACCAGTTTAGCTTTGGAGGCCTCTGAGACACCACTGGAAACCCTTAATGGTTCCCAGAAAAGAGTCATAGTGCATTTATGGTGAAAGAAGCTACTAAGAAAAAGGAAAATATAGTAAAAATATTTGACTCAGATCCTGACCTTTCCTCCAGTCTGTAACAATTGGTTTGTACTTCTCTTCCAGAGATGCTCACTTGCATTTCCTCTCCCATTGTGTTGTCAGACAGTGTGGAACACAGATGTTATTCACTCAAAATTAGGCTCTTCAGACTGGACTATGATTGTTCTTTCTTCTACCATTCCACAGTCTCTCCCCTCCTTCCTTGGCTTTCCACCATCCTCATGGACTAGTTTAGTAATATCTATAATGTTCTGTGAACATTATAGAAATGCTAAGTATTAGAAAGGAGGCAGAACTGCAGGTGAATGTGCAATGTATTTATGACAGTACAAGATTCCCTTTTGGCTTTCCTTCTCTGCTATTTATTAAAAGTACTGACTAAGGATAAATTCTTCATAAAGCAATATTTTTCTTCTTAAAAGTAAATGCAAAACAATCTACAATACATCATTATCATAAATGAAATAGAAGAAAATGCATCCAAAGAATTCCCTGTACAGTAAAACAACCTAATATCAGGAAATTGTCAGGATGATAAATAGTTTTGTGATAAAATATTAAAGACATCAGTGTGTAATCAGTATCCTCCTATAAAAATGCAGACAACTGGTTGTATATTCTAGATCTAAAGCATTATGAAATGGATTCAGGGATACATCTTAAAGCTAAAAACTGTTTAAAACAAAGTTAATTGCCTTTAGAGCTGGAGTCAGCTCTGCCTGTGGTCATATATTGTTCAGATGTGGCTGCAGTAATACAATATAATATGGCAATGCAGGTATTAAAGAAAAACAAAAAAACCTAGTAAAATGAAAAGTTTTTCACTTTTAAAGTTTTTTCACGTTTCAGTTTACTTAATATAGGCAGTCTCTCTTGCACAGAGGAAACTTTCTAGGTGCAAACACTGTATGCATTTATTTTTTCAAAGGGCTGAGCAAACACATTTGGTAATTGCTCATCAGTGCATAGTTCGTTGTGTCATTAGGATTTCACACAAATCAGCCAAATCTGATTCGGAGATTCGGCTGCTGCTGAATCTCCGAATCACCCAGGCCCGTCCCCTGCCCGCTGTCCCAGTCCGGCAGTGGCTGCCCTGCCCACCCCGGCTCCCGGCTCTTTGGAAGAAAAAGAGCCCACTACTCCACATTGCCCCACACCATATCGGGGGCTCTGCACAAGCACCTGAAGCTCCAAGGCCGCTGCAGGAGTGGTGAGTCCTGCAGTTTTTCTTGGGGTTTTTTTCTTCTTAAAGGGCCAGAGCTGATCCAGGTTGGGCAGCCATAAGGGGGCTGGGGGAGTAAGGAGGGGGTTGTGGGGCTCATGGCAGAGCCCCCATGCAGTTTGGGGCAGTGGGGGGCAGCGAGGATCGCTCCCCTGCTGGGCAGCACCCAGTGAGTAGGGCCTTTTTTTAAAGTACCGAACTGGGGCGGGCAGGAGTCGGGGGGCTGGCAGGTATTCCCCCATGGTCCCCTCCCCAAGATCCCTCTCTCCCACCCCCTGCTTACCAGCTTCAAGTCTGACTGCAGCTCCATGCTGCAGCAGGCAGGGACTGTCCAAATCAAAGCTCTCTGTCCAAATCATCAAAGCTCTCCGAATTGAATCACCACCCAAACCTTTGCACAGCCCTAGCAAACACCTACACACAAATCACAAGGTTTTCAAATTGGAATCTGTAGTGTGAAAAACACACTGACCTGTTGTGGTCTGTCTAAGTTTTTGGAACAGCAAAACTCTATTATTTTTTTCTGTAGTCAAAAAAACAAGTCAAAGCTAAGAGCTGGCATATTCTATGCTGTGCCTTGAGTCTAAGGAGGTTGGCAACTACTGTTTTAGATCATCTGAAAACAAGATGGAAAGAAAAGATACACTCTGCAACCTTTGTTTCTTCCTGTTCTGCCATAATCTCTCTCTTAAGTTCCAAAATATATTTTCTGTTGTATGTTGACATGCTTGTGATATAAAAACTCTGATTATTATGCAGTTGTTTTAAGCCATATTGCTGTAGTATTCCCAAACAAAAATATCAAATTGCATCGTACGTATTTTTATCACAATGATGTTTCTTTCTAGGAGGTGCAGCGCTGGATCTAAAAGCTTGTCCTCCCAAACCATTCCGGTGGATCCTTGACATGACATGGCTGAATTTGGTAGAATTGAGCAAACTTCCACAGTTTTCAGAAATTATGAATCAGGTGATATCGTTATATTTATCTTTGTTTTTATTAGTGCTCACAGTTCCCAATCAGAATTAGATTTTCAGTGTCCTGCTTTATAGACAAATAAACCTACTACAAAACACACGGCCACAGCCTTGAAAAATTAAGGGTCTGAAGAAACCAAAAACAGAAAAAGGATCGGAGCAGCAGGATGAGATACAAGCAAAATGAATGGAGTGACAATAGGCACACAAATGGTCTACTTTTGAAAGAATAGTTATATTATTTTTCTTTTTTTTGTATGATGATTGTAGGAATGGAATGAAACTGAACACGAGCAAAATAACAAGAAAAGGAAGTAAGGGAAGAAAGCATGCAAGTAGTGCTCATCAGAGGAAATAAGATAGAAAATGGGAAGGAGTATGGCAGGATTGGGAGAGCACTGTGGATATATCTAACAACAGAGAAGAGAGAATGGTGGAAAGATGTTGGGGCGAACATCAGACAGAATTTTCCGTCAGATTAGCAGACAAGATTGTGTAGATTTAAGATTTTAGAAGGGTGTTTACCATCTTCATTTTTGGCTTGGAGCTATGAAGGTGTATATATTAAGAGCCCTAGCAAACACCTACACACTGGGCTTGGGGTGAGGGGTGGGTTGTCCCTTGCTACTGGTCTCACCTGTGTCTGGGGAAGGCCTGTTGCTAGTAGAAAGCTCGCTTCACTTCCAGAAAGTCATAGTGAGGCATGACGATGCAAAATGGCCTGGGAGGCAATGACTTAACCGGAGTGCAAGATGGAATGACAAAGAGATCCTGTTCCCTCCCTCACCACTCCTACATCCAGCTCTGTACTATGAAACAAATATGCACTACCTAGTAGTATAAAAAGAGAGATTAATTCAGCATTGAAATATCTGATTATACGATCAGTATGTCTCTAGTTCTATTGTAGTTAAACTAAGGGTGATATCGCACATTTGACTTAACATTTATTGAGTGCAGTTAAAATGCAAATAGTTGTACATTTAAGTAGTTTAGCACATGTTAAGTGCCATTGTGGCACTGCAAAGTTGTTCACTTTCAGGCAAGTAACCATAGGGCACTACATTCCAATGATTTGCAACTGCTGCAATTGAATGTGTGACAAGGCACTAAGACAGGGGTGCTCAGCCCCTGGCCTATAGGCCAGATCCAGCCCATGGAGCTATGTCATCCAGCCATTACAGCTCCCCATAGGTCCAAAAATTCGGTGATGGGGGCAGTGGCAGGTGCCACTTTCCTTTTGCCCAATTTCTATACGGGGGCGGCGGGCAACCTGCCACTTTCCTTTTGCCAAATTTCTATACCCATAGGGAGTTCTACAGACTCAATAGCATGGCATTGCATGCTAGATTGGGCACATGGGGCTGATGGGGCAGTGTGGGGTTGTTTGGGGCAGCACAGAGCAGTGCAGTGTGGCATAAAGCTGATTTGGCAGCTTGGGGCAGCACAGAGCCAATCTGGGTGGTGCAGGGCAGCATGAAGTTTTGTCGATCCAGGCAATGTGGAGTGGCATGGAACTGATTGGGACAGTGCAGGGTTCATCTGAGCAGCATAAGGCAGATCAGGGCAGTGTGAAGCTGATTAGGGTGCTGTGGGGCAGTGTGGAGCTGATGTGGGTCGTGACAAGCCAATTAGGGGGGTGGGAGGTGGCGTGGGGCTGATCATGGCAATATGGGGAAGACCCAGGTAGTGCAGAGCTGATTGGGGCAGTGCGGGGCCAATTGGAATAGTGCAGAGCAGATCTTGCTGACATGGGGCCAATTGTGGCAGTGTGGGGTGGCCCAGGGCCCAATCTTAGTGTGTGAGGTTGGGCAGAGGCAGCACAGGGCCTGGTCCTGGTGCACAGGGCCTGAAGCAGCCTGTGGACTGGTTCTGCAGTACTCATCTGGCTTATGGGGCCATCACTGCCCTAAGATATCATACAGTGGCATTTCTAAATTGTTCCTAATTTAGAGAATGCAAGATTGGGAGTGGCTTCCATAAGAAGACACAAGTATTAGGGGTGTGCGAAATGGGCCATATTCAATTCGGATTTGGCCTTAATCAGGGACAGTTATTCGATCCATTGATTTGGATCATTGTTCCCGATTTCAGTCAACCAAAATCAAATCTGAAGATTCAATGCTGATTCAGAGAATCAGCGATTCGGCCATAGACACAGTTTTAAATGTTTTTTCTACATACCTTGGGGACCGTGCACGGCTCATGAATGTTGCAATGGTGGGGCAAATGGAGTGTGGGGATAGGGACCCCACGTGCTTGGCAGCGAACCCAGAAGTGGACTGGAAGTACTAATGGTCCACTTCCAGGTCTGTAAGAGTGTGCTGGGGGCCCCCTGCACTCCCATGGCTCAACAATCAGCTGCGGGGGGGACCCTGGGTGCCCCCCCAGACCCAGGAGGCACCAGTCACTAAGCTGGGGGGCATCTGAGAGCTAGGGGGTGCAGGGGAGCCCCCTGCGTGCTCCCCGGTGGGCCCAGAAGTGGACCGGAAGTGCTTCTGGTCCACTTCTGGGTCTGCTGCCAAGTGTGCTGGGAAGCCTCCTGCGCTCCTGTGGGATGCTCCATCACCTCAGCATCACAGCATTCATGAGTCACCTGGTGCCTTGAGGTATGTAGAAAAAACATTTAAAGCTGTGTCTGTGTCCAAATCACCGAAGCTCTCTGAATCAATTAGGAGGGTTCTGATTCGATTTGGAGGGATTAAAGGGTTTCCTGATTCAATTTGGATTTGGAGATTTGGCCACCAAATCAGGCCAAATCGAATCAGGGACCGAAGCTTCACACCACCCTAATGTTGGCAGATATTCTAGAGAAGGGGTTTAGGGATCTGTCCACTGATCAAACTCATATTCACTTGAAATTTCAAAAGCCACGTAATATAACGACTATCGTTTAGAATAGAGCGTTACTTTTGATGTGGTATTCTTTGGCCATATTGGTCCATGCAATAATTTTAGCTATAGTCTCTCATCTTTTTATTAGTAATAGATATACATCAATTACAATGCTTTCTATCTTTGTCTTTATAGTAGAGAATCATCCTGCTAATAGATGACCTTCCTATCTTTCTGCGTGGAAGATTATTTTACGCTTGGCTATTTACTCCTACGCAAATTCTTTAGAGTGGGCATCTCAATATCATAATATCTTTTTGTAATAACTTATTATAACGCTACCTCTGAACATATATTTTCGATAGTCTCCTCTTGTCATGACATGTATTTGAAAAATTATTATAATTTGAAGGGATTCATTAAAACATAACCTTCTAACATTATTGCCATCTCATTATTGCCAATGTTATTTATGTATTTATTCATGTAATCTATTTAGATACTTCGTAATGAGAAGGGGTGGAAAAGCTGGTTTGATAAAGATGCTCCTGAGGAAGAAGTTATTCCTGATGGATACAATGACTCATTAGATACCTGCCGGAAACTTTTACTTATCAGGTGAGCATCTCCATAAATTTTCAAGCAGTATTTGTTACTGGTGTAAATTACCTTTTACAATAAACATCTCAGTATATCATGTGCTGTAATCAGTAAGATATGTACACAATACAATTTCAATATGGCATGAAATATTATCTGCAACTAAGATTCACTGACTTTACAGATACTCACTGAAAAAAACCCAAACATTTATATTCTTACAGGATTCTAAAATATATTCCAGAAAACATGTTTGTTCAGCTTCACCTGAAATGTGGGAAAAGAATAGGACTTTAGGACTCCTTAAAAATCTCCTAAATATTTTGAAACTGTTAAGTAATACTCTCATTTTTCAGTTTTATTTTTAATATTTACTGTGGAAATTGTTGTTATTTTAATTTTCATTTATTTCTTTTTAAAAATAAGTAATTTCAGGAATTTTTATTAAGGAGTTTTGTTTTCCAACAATCCCATTATGTGACTAAATTGATTAATCAAAATGATTAATACAAAAAATATCTAGAAATAAAGTGCCAAACTCATAAAATGAACAATAACAAAATATAAGAAGGGTTAAACAGCCAAATCTTCAAAATATATAGCATTATGCTATATGTAGTTTACAACTTTAGTTATAGCTAAGCTGCTCAGCACTACTTTAAATCAGAGGCCAGCCTTAAGTTGGACTTTCAGAAAATGCAGAGCTGATATTACTGCTTACCAGTGAAAAGCTTAGTGTAAGTGATTTGCAGAGATGAAAATACAATCCAGTTATTCAGGGCAGCATTCAACTGCATTGTCCATCAAACCATCCCCTCTCTTCCCAAAGCTTCAGTTCATTCTTTGTATAACTTTCAGTTGCTGCAACAAAAGAGGATAAAGCCAACAGACAACAACCTCATATCCTTAGATATGAGGTCGTTACACAAGCCTTAGTCATTTTCAGAATAACTAACATTTGTGAATGAAATGAGGTCTTAAGTCCTGCTGTAAAAAATTATCATGATTATATGGTTAGAAATTGTATCGTTGCATTAGCAAAAGGGGGTAGACAGTAGTTGCAGAGGCAACAATCCCTAGCAATCTCTACTATGAATGCACAAACTGAAACTTTAGGTTTTAAAGTTGGCATATGAATGTTTTCTTGTTTTAGAAACAGCAAAAGGCGTCTCCTTAACAACTCCCCACTATCAAATGTCAGTTCCCTTCATGCCCAAAATCTTGTCCAGCATTTCTCCCAATTATACAAATGGTTGAATAAAAGGTATCACCAAACAAACAAAAACAAAACAAATAACACCTCCCCCCTTGCTCCTATCTAATTGTCACATTTTTTCTCCTCCTTTGATATAACTATGGACCTTACAGAGAAACACAAATATGATTTTGTGTGTGTCACGGCGGGGTCCTCGCGGAGGGCCGTGTACTCCTTAAGGTCCCTCGCTCCGTGTCAGGCCGGCCCAAGGCACCCTCTAATTCTCGCCCGCCACGTCTTGATGGAATATAT